ATGACAGAAGAAGAATAAATGTCGAGTTGTGGTGCTGGAGAAGAGTCTTGAACATACCATGGGCCATCAAGACAACAAATAGGTCTGTCTTGGAGAGGGTGAAATCAAGTCTCTCCTTGAAAGCTAGGATTTTGAAGCTCTGCCTCACTTACTTTGGGCATGTGGCCAGGAGAGATTGGTCCTTGGAGAAGAAATTGCTCGGAAAGGTGGATGGACAGTACAGGAGAGGAAGACCCCAGATGAGATGGATTGATACAGTATCTGGGACAATGGGGGTTGATGTGTCAGAATTAGTGAGTCTGGTTCTGGACAGCGAAGGGTTCAGAGCTGCTCTACATAGGGTCTCTATGCATCGCAGGTGACTCATCGAATAACAACATACCATGACAGTTTTGGAAGCAGGAGTGGCATCCACTTTCTAAACAACATGCCTCTGGAAACTCTATGTACTTTGATAAATGTTTTGGAAAGGCTTCAGGCATTTTGTTCAGAGGGACCCTTGACTCAAAGGTGATCAACAATAACAGCAGCAGCATACCCACAGGGAGAATAGTGATGATTAGTCTCATCAGTCAACAAGGGGATTGGATCATCTCACTAGTTCACAAGAGTATTGGTTAGTCTTGCTATTAAATTGAGCAGATCTAGTATCAGAAAACAGAGACCTCACTGCCAGCAAGAGAACGTAACTTGTTCTTCAGAACCCGAACAAGATCCATAGCAGCTACAGCGGAGAACCAGAGACCTAACATGACCTGGAGCTGACCTTGGGACTACTACCCTGCCTGGACAGAACCACGCTAAGCTAAGAACGTTTGCCCAAGTTTGCTGGACAACCAGGGGAGCGATATGGGGGAGGGAGGATAGCTAAGATAGGCAGGACTGAGAACTTTGTAACATTAGCCTTAAGCTGCAAGGCTCAACACGAAGGTGCCTGTGAGTACATTTTGAAAGCTATCCAGACTATATTCTGATACTAACTTGGATTATAACTTTTTTACTTCTCCAGTATAGCAGTATGTGGTCTGTGATCTATCACATTGGATTTTGAACCCAGTAAAGCAGTAAGATTGTTGTTGAGATGCGTAGAAAGAGGTATAGAAGCATGAGAGATAGGTCTGACCTAACAGGAATTTGTGTTGTTGATGCTGTGGTGGGAACAGTTCCCCTTTATGAAGTTGGTAAAGGTGTTTGGTCATCCTCACACTGTCTTTGCTCTTGTTACACATGCAAATACTTACCAGAAGAAACTTTTTTAGCTCTTACTTATCGATGGTATCCTCCCCTGGTTGTGGAGCTCTATACTGAAACTGCATGACTGATTTTACTTAGCATCTACTTTCCATTACTTAGCATCTAATTTCCATTACAGCTTTTCAGGTATTAATCAAAATTTCTTGTTGGTCTCATTTCAGTAACTTCAATATGTGTACCTTGTGAATCTGGTTCTTTTGATTGCTTTCTTTCCAGTGTGCTGTTTCACTTATATTTTCTGGGAAGAATTTATATGTGGATTTTGGAGTTGTGCTGCTGTGGTTCCTTTTCTTATCCAGTTCCTTTCTTAATCTGATAGCTTCTCTGACCAATTGTGGGCACTGTCATCTGACATCTTAAGCTACCAAGGCTCTGTTTGGCTGTTGTCTCAAGTTGTGGATTAATTAAGGGATACTCCTAGAGAAAGACTTGTAGATCTCATCAGTTCTATTTCTTTGCTTTGAGAATAAGGTACACTCTAGCTTTTGCCTAAATTTTCTTGTTCTCTAGTTTTCAGATAGTTAGTTTCTTTCTTTCT